GAAGCCTGTGCAATGCATATGTCTGTATATACATTTGAGAGAGATACATCTCTAACTGCCAGGAAGTCTCTCTCTCTCTCTCTCTCTCTCTCTCTCTCTCTGTGTGCCCCCCCCCCCACCGCACATTAGATTGAAGGAGTAGCTCTGTTTTATTATCCTTTTCAAGGTCACACAGCATACAGTGCTGATAATTGTCAGTGCCGCTTTTACATCTAACTCAATTACTGCGTTGAATTTGGAACACTCGACCACTGCAGTCCCATACAAATGCTAGGGAAATTTGTCTGTGAAAACAACAAATTGGCTTTCAGTCACCATAAGCCTTTACTGTTAACAGCTTTCCTTTCCTTTCTTTTTTGTGGGGGAGGTGGGTGGGTGGGGAGGAGACTCTGTATAATGGGCCAGTAAGCCACTGCAGATCAGAATCAGTTTATGTGAAGATATTGGAATATTACGACCCTCCTTCTCACTGACCTTCTGGATTACTCAGTACAAGCATTTGTTGATGCCTAACCTACAAGGGAAAATTTGTTTTAGCACCTGAATTAATAAAAAAAATAACACTTTTCTTCCCTTTTTAATCTCAGTTTGAGAGGATTGCCGATACATCCGAGTCCTCCGGTAGCATCACTCTCAAAAGCTACACCATGCACTTGGAGGTAGTGAACTGTATTGGATGCAGCAAGTCTGCAAACATTTGTAATCTGAATTGTTGGCATGAAATTTCTTTGTGTGGGGCTTGATTTGTTGCTGGGTGGCATTTAGGACCTGAAACTCAGTTGATTTGATTATGAGTATAATTTTGGCCAGGGGAGGGGCGGCAGCTAAGTAAATGGAGAATCTTTGGTTTTATATTCTGTAGTAAATGAACAATGTAAGCAAGATTGCTTGGCTTTTGAACATTGAAAATTAAACTGATGTGCCATGTTTGATGATGTGACTCTCAAACTACAAGCCAAGTCACATTAGGCAGCCAGGGAACATCAACTTAGTAGCTATATATCAGAGCTGAAGCGAAGAGAACACAATTTAGTAGCAGTTTAACTCACAACCTTCTTTATCCAGATTACCTCTTGCCATTGCATGATTATAAAGGTCAAATGACAAGAACTGGGTAAGAAATGTGTTTGGGTCATGCTGTAATAGAAACAGACCTAATTCACAGTTCTTAACCCAGTAAGAAAGCCAAAACCCAACTCTCCTTCTCTGAATCCTGAGATGCAATTTTCTAATTTAAGAAAAAGTAAAGTAGATCAAATTGCATGTAAAAAGCATATATCTAAAAACATGGGAGGAAAATGCTTTGCAAAATATAAAATAAAAAAACATAATATCTGTGCATATTGAGAGAAAGGTTTACAAAAATGTAAGTTTAAGTAGAAACTTCACCCCCAAACAAAAGAAATATAGAAACAGAACAGTACAAAGTTGCATTAAAGAAGCTGTAGAAGTTGATACTGATATATTGATAGTGTCAATAGCGCAACCTTCCCCAGTCTGGTGCCATCCAGGTATGTTGGACGTAACATTAGCCAGCAGTTATGAGAGCTAGAAGTCCATATATGGAGGGCACCCACTTGAAGACACATGGATTGGTGCATTTGAGTTTCGTCCAGAACAATCAATGTTTCATCCCAGTTCACTTCTAACCAAGCTACCTTGGTGGCATTATAAAAATGGTTGCTGTGGATGCAATCACAATATTACAATCCTTGTTATATTGTAATGAGATTGCAACTACCAGGCAACACAGCAGGGCATGCTTCACTAAACAAAGCATGTTCCCATACCTAAACCAGCATAAAGCCATCAGCAAAGCTATGAATATCTAATTCTTGATCAGATCTTTGGTATATTCAATCTAGAATAGCATACAGCAACTGGCAATATATTAAAATATCTAACAGAATTCTTTGTTACCCTTGTTTAGCTGAGGGTCTTTTTAATTGATAATACTATCCATGAAATCAAGGGCCGTCTCAAAAACAGCCTATGCTGCAATTGGAATAGAGAAGGGTTTTGTAAATGTTGAACAACTAGCAATTGCACTCAGCATTTATTTATTAACTCTATACAAAGTATCCTCAAGTTTTGTCTCTCAGAGGCACCTGAAGCTAGGATTTTGACTTTAGAATATTCTGCTGCATCTCTCTCCCATTCAAGCATGTGTGTAACTGAAATACAGTAATAGATACAGTATATGCAACTCCTGCCAACTAACAAACCTAATTTCCCCCAATCTCCTGCACTGATGAGCTACCTGGTATGGTAATGGAATGTTTGCAACTCAAAAAATGTAGAAACTGTCTCATACATTGTTCTCTGAGTAAAAGTGGCTTCATGTGATAAATTGGCATTACTTCTCTACCACTTGAGTTTGTATGCTTGCTGTATCTGCATGTGTTCATCAATTGGTCAGGTCAGGAAAACTGCTGTGTGTCCAAATCATGAAAGCAGAGACCCAGCTGTTAATAACGAGAATGATACCTTCATTGGTAATCTGTGAACTGATAGCCCTGCTAAACTTGCCAGCATTGCAGGCCGAGAGGGGTTCCTTAGACTAAATTGGCAACTGTGCTGGTGATACGCATGTCTTGCAAGCTGAAGACAAACTTGTGAAACTGCATTGCAGAAGACTCTCATTCCCTTGGGGAACAATAGCTGAAGGGAGAATTAATGGACATAATCATATTTGTAAACTCTGCTGGAAGATGGCCTACTTATACCCTGTTGTCAGTTAAGGATAATCTACCATAAGGAAGAGTTCTTAGTGGAAGGTACGGTTTGAGGATACCTTGCTTCATAAAATGAGAAAACAAATGTTTGCTTGCTTCTATCCCTAGGGACTGGCAGATACAAAAATTCCAGGACCAGCATCCCCTCCGAGTACGCACAGCAGTAGAAACATTTCTGTCCGTCAGGTACCAAGCCAAAGCCAGATAGAGGATAGCTTTTCCCAAGATTCCCTCCATCGAAGTGTCAGTCAGCTCATTGAAGTATCTGAGAAAAAGTCCTCAACAGAAGATACTGTTTGGGATGCCATTATTCATGGCCATGACAGTAGTTTGGTAAGTCCATTTACTGGGACAACTGATTAGCTTCACCTACTGATGTGCCATAATTACAGAATCTTTGTAAAAATGTTGATCGTTGAGTAACCAAAAGGTGAGCAACACCAATGGCCTTCATGGTATTAATATGAATTGTATGAATGCTCTTGAAGTAGCCCAGTGCTTTCCAGATCTTCTGAACTTCACTACCTGAAGGCAAGCAAGCACGATCAGTGACCAGAAACAGTGCAAGTTGCAGCCCATAATATGACTTAAGAGAATCAATCTCTTCTATGAAGAAAAAAAAAAAAGCCTCTTCTCCTAGGTATAAAATATGCAGGCTGTATACATTTAGCAATGCATGTTGGAGTTGCACTCTAAGATGGGCGTCTATACAAATCTTTTAAATAAATCAATAAGATAAAATGTTCCTGAGAGTAAAGTAATGTTATCCTAATACTATATATAAATTAGGTAGCATGTATGGTAAGTGCCTTTAATTTTAACTCTACCTATCTGCAAAATGCATAGGGCTTTGGGTCCTTGCCCACAACCTTGCTTGTGATATATATTATCCCGTCCTCTAGGGTAGTTTTTTTCAGCCAGCGGTGTTGAAATTTAAAATCCCAAGTAGAGACCCACAGGGGAAGAGCACAAATTTGGGAAAGGCAAATTTAATTAACATCCTTGATTTTATAGTTCTTAAACTAATGCTTTTAAGAGTTCATGGGTGCATTCATTCTTTGAATACTTTTGAAATGTTTTATATTTAGAGGAGGTGCAAAGATGATCTTGTGAATTTCAGTGGGTCAGGGTGATCTCTTTTACTTAATTAAAAGATTATCCAACAATAAAAACTTTTAACAGTTGATGTTAAAAATAGCCTGTATGAGATCTAAAATTGTCTTTATTTTGTAACTCTTTTGCTTATCTTCTTGAAATCATTTTTTTTAGTGTACGGATGATGAAGATCTTGTGAGCGCTATCAAAAGCTTCAGTACCGTCACCAAAGAACATACAACATTTACTGATACACACTTGTAAGTTATTTAGTACTGTTGTCACAGCATAGCAAGATAATATGGAAGGCATTAATTCAAGCCTTGAATATTTGCTCTTTCTAGTCACTACTAAAACTTTCCTAGTATTTATAAATTATGTCTTGCACTGTAGGTATGTGAAAACTATTTTCTTTTTATCAAAACTTGGCAGCTTCTTTTCTAGTAACGCATTGTCTAGAGCAATTTATATGAGAGATACATGTTAAAAAGTTTTTAAAATGCATTTTTGGCAAATAAATATGGTTTATTCAGCTCATTGCAGGGACTGGATAAAATGGTTAAAAAGTAGTCATACACACAAGAACTTAGGGAACAATATTGAGCTCTTCTCAAAAATTAGTCATTAAAAACCTTTAGCTGATCAGAATCAGATCACCAAAAATCTTGTTAAAGGGTCTTAGAACTCCATTACAATAAGTACATGGAAGAAATGCACAGTTAACCCACCTATACTTTATTATAATTTTATGCTTCAGTTAGTTTCTTCAGCCATACACTGAAATCTTTCAGATCATTTATTAGTTATAGATAGGGGGGAAAGTAACCAAAATGTAAATGTATAGCTGTACTCTCTTTTTCATGCTTAAGTATTAAAATATACTTGCATGGGAATATAATGCAATAGAACTGATCTACACATTTTATGACAATACTGTTTAAATGCATATTTTATCTGCCTCCAGCAGTTAAGTCTCACTGCATTCAGTGGGCTTTGCTCCCAGATGTTTATGTATAGAATTGCAGCCTATGTCTTCTATTAGAACTACTTTATGAAAAGAATGCTATATCAACAGGCTTCAAAATGCACCAACTTTGTGTGAGTGGATAGTTAACTGAATAGGTTTGTCCGTTGGCTGTAGCAGATACTCATCATTGTTCTGCTATTCTGATACTTACATGATCCAGTGAGAAATGCTATCATATTGTAATAAAAATCACACCATTTCTACAAGCAGTACAGTACCTATTAGTCCCACATTGACTACTATGGCCATGGCACATATGTAGTTCTGCTTCTATGGCAAAGATATTAACATTTCAAGCCTGGGAGGTTCAGAAGCAGACTTCACTGTGGTGGCAAATATGTGCTTCTGAAGACAAAGCCACTCTAAAGCTTTGGTATCCTAGCTGAAAAAGAGAGTGACAAATTCAAATTAACAGCACCCCAAACTATAAAAACCAGAGTTGTGAGGAATAAGGTTTCTACAAGTACTCAGACTGTAACTAGATCCTTCTATTCTAAGTTACAAACTTGTGGAGCATAAGACATATCTATTAGGCTGTTAATACAGAATTTCAGCTTTGTGCATTATTAATTTTTGTTTTAAATAGCTCACATCAAAACTGATTCTTTACAATCAGAAATGTAATATATTGTCAAGCTGCAGGATATTGCCTCAAATTAAAACTTGATTTTAATTTATTTGTTTCACCGTTTCTCTTTTATCTTGATCTACAGTATTATTTGTTCTTACAATAGATAGTTGAATGCTGTTAGCACATGGCTATAAATAAAGATTAGTGCGCAGAGAATTATAAGTAAACAATGTAGCCTTACTTTTTTTCTGTTGCATAAGAAAATAACTTGCACCTTCAGGAAAATACAAACATAAACCATCTGGGGCATAAAGCCACTTACCTTTGACTAAACAAGGTGTATCAATCCTGATGTCCCTTTCAGCTGTCAAACAAACAACTATTTAACTATTTCCAAAATTATTTATGAAACCTGTTTTGATATGAGCCAAATGTAATCAAGCAAGAAGGTAAACAGTACGCCAGAACATATAACATTCAAAGGACAAATGTTCATTTTAAGAAAAACCACAGCAGTCATACAGAGTAGAATTAAAAATGTCTGGAAATGTTAAAATCCTTATTATTCATTTTATAATTCACATTAAATTGATGGGGTTTTATTCTTCATTTTGAAACCATTTGGAGGGAGAAGGAGCTACAACTCTCACTAATATGCACACACTGCACTTCTATGGAAGATGACAAAAAACAAGCACTCTAAAAGTTACCATGCTAATACATTTTGGTATGGGGGGAGGGGGCTCAAATGTAATTGAACAACATTTGCAATGTATCTATTATCACATTCATACCTTGTAGCAGGGCAGGCTTATTCTTTTGTATATTTTATTCTGCGTTGGTGGTGTTGCATTCATACAAAATCTATCGCTAAGTATTCAACAGAGTGTATCAAAGGTTTGAGTATAAAACTGGCCTTAGGCCATCATTTCTCTGCAGGAAGGAGAACAATTATCTACTATAAAATAATATGCTTATGATTGCTGAAAGTATGCAAGAAAATATCTCCAAAGAGGCCTATGGTGTCTTAGTGCAAGGCTCAGTAGAATCCTGGTTTTCTTCCGACCTTAGCACATGCGACTGAGGACATTCAAGGCTGAACCATTAAGGCTCTCTAGGAAACCAGAGATCTGTAAGATAATGTAATGTGACTGAGCTGAGGGGCAAAGGAAAAGCATGCACAAATCTCAAGTGCTCCAAGACTGCTTGTGTCTTTGCCAAAGGAATAAAAGACACTTTTTCATGCACAGGTATTGCTGTTAGAAATACTGGAGAACTTATTTATATCTACAAGTTCTAGCTTTTTTCAACTGTGCAGACCTAAACAGATGGATTAATTCTATACAATGCTATAATAATTGAAATGTACTAAGTTCTCTATAAATTTCTCTATAAATACAGATATTTTGAAATAAATTTTGTAGTTAATTACTCTAAAGATTACTATTTATTGTGAAGAAAATGACTCAGGTTGTCCTTTCCTGTGGAAGACAGCAGGATGCTTGGGTTTTTTTTCTCTCTTGCTAATTGCTTGCTAGACCAGACTACACAGAAATTTTGTAGAGGTAATTTGTGCAATGCTTCATAACAGCAGGCTCCACCTGCAAACATCTGATGCTTGGAGCTTCATAAAATGCAAGAAACCACTCTATATCTTTCTGTATGAGCTTATAGAGCAACTGCTAATGACTTTCTAGAATTAATCCATTGCTGCTATTATAATTAAAAGGAATGTACAGAATGACTACATTCTTTATACTTTAATATTAGACAAATATCTGCCAAATAATGTTTTATAATATCTATAAGTAACAACACATTTAGAAGTGCAATTTGGTTAAGTTAACACATTGAAGCATGAGATGGTGTACAAAGTTTATTAATATTAATAAAAACTGTGGTGGCACAACAGAAAAGGCAAACATAAAATAAAGCACCCTAACACTTTCCATTATTATTCCCAATTTGGAACCACGCTGAAAGCATGAATTGATCTACAGATGGACCATAAACTTTAAATACTTAGCATGTGTGTAGCCAAGAGTAGGAAACAGTTACTCTACAACAAAAATGGTAGTGCATGCCAGCCTGTATTAAACAAAGCTTGAAATTAAACAAAGCTTGAAACGTCTGTACCAGAACTAGACCTCACATACACAATTATACAAAGTTAACACCAATTTTGAGTAGTTCAAAAATGCTTCCATTGATTGTGCTGTGAAGCCAAGTTCTTTAGCAGCTTTCTCCATCTGGTGTCCCTCCAGAGAAATTAGATTCAACTCCCATAATTCCCCAGCCAGCCTACTCAATTGGATTATGGAAGTTCAGGTCCAACTCATCTCGATAAACACCAGGATTGGAAGGCTGATCTGTCTAGAATGTGTTTTCTTATCCTGCCTGATTCTACTTCAAACACATTTTCAATTAGAAAGATACAAATTTAGATGCATAAATGTAAACATTTCATCCAGTTTAGTGATAAACTTTCTATATATATCTGGGATATAGATGTCCTTCTGTATTTTCACAAGGTATAATCCTGGCAAGATGAGTCACTTTTCTTATGCCGTGGAGAAACTGTTGTCTTTGTAGGAGATGGGGAAGCTGTACCAAGTACTTCAGAACTTCCTTCCACAATATTTGGTGAAGAGACCACAAGATGTGGTCCTTTCTTTCTTCCAAGGAAACCACTTCCTTCAAATCCACTCTTCCTTTTGCTGTCTGCTTTGCTTTCATTTTCTTCATCATTTCCTCTTTTTTTCAATTCTGATATGCTTTCAGACACTTTCTGAAGTTCAGTTCCTCCATCTGGCACTCTAGCCATTCTTATCTCAAGTGCTAAGGCTGAAGCTTTTTTGTCAGTTATGTTTTCCCCAATTCTTTTCCCTTCTGTCTGTACAGGGCTCCAGTTGCCATTCGGAGGAACAGCTTTGTCTACCATAGTTTTACTTAAATTAAAAGGCTGAATTTCTCTGTAGCTGTGAAAACTCTCTGTCCGCCGGGCTCTGGCTAGTAAGGGGCTCTCCCTATATGGCCGTATGGAGCCATATGTAGCGGTTTCATGGATTGTTTCCCGGTGCTGTAACTGGAGGCTGAAAACATTTGAAATTTTTTAAGTAATTAGATTAACAAACTGTGCAGTCAAACTGAACAAAGTTTACTAGCTAGAAATTTGGATTATTTTTTATTTTTCTGCAAAAATCATAAATGACTAGTTATTGCTTGAGATATCACTACTAGATAGATAAGCACATTACATAACTAACACAGACAGACACTGGAAACAACTAATCTTTAATGGAAAAATGAAATACAACTTTTTATATGATACCTATTCTGCACAGTTTGCAAAATATCAGAGTATTAACTTTGAAGTACACAGCATGATAAAAATGCAGTCTTACACAAAGGAACATCTAGCTTAAAACTTGCCATCCACACATATGCAAACATAATTTTAAAAGCTTACCTAGAGCCTGATTCCCGCAGTCGGCTTTGTTGGACTACTGAAGTAGCTGGACTGATATTGGGAGTTGCACAGCGAGATGTGCTTAGATCACACTGATCCAGAAGCTTAAGCAATTCTTCTTCAGTAGGACCACCCACATCTTTGAGACAGAAATAAAGATCCATATATACATTAGGAAACTCTAACAAATTTGCTTA